AAAAAAAAATAAAAAATAAAGATATATTAGTAATAATTACCCGATGTGAAAGTAAAATTGAAGCTTAACTTTTATCAACCCCATATATTTTTCTACTCAATTTTTTTTTTTAATTTTCATTTGTGGAGAAATTCAACATATGTAATATATAAAGGGTAAATAGAATTTTACTGTTATTTATGAGAATGTCGAGTGTAAAATAAAAGAGAAATTTTTTTTTTTTTTTTTAAAAAGCAAGGAATAAAATGCAGCAGTGGTGGGAATATAAAATATTCCCAGTACAAAATGGTGAATGCATTATACGTATATTTATATAATATATATATATATATATTGTTTGGCAATTAGAAAGAAGAATAAACAGGTGAAAATAAAGAATGAGGTGAAGCATCAAAAGCATTTTAATTAATTAATTAATTAATTAATGGAAAAGGCAGCATTCCACTTCACAGAAGTTGCATGGACTTGATCCACTTTTTAGCTCTCTCTCTCTCTCTCTCTCTCTCTCTCTATTCTTTAAAAGTAGCTTTTTTTTTTTTAAGTGGCCATTTGCTTTTTGAATTATTATTATTTTAAGCATTATTAGTTTCTTAAACATGAAAGAGAAAAATGGGTTTATAATTAATAAATCCAAAGTTAAAGGATCCACTAATTAAACTGTTTTGGGGGGGGGGGGTTTAAGTGAAGAAAGCACTAATTAAGTGCAGTTGTTGTAGGCCACTTAAACCATTTTAACTTCATAATTTATATATATCCTTTAACATGGAAGCTCAAGAAGATGCCACCTTATCAAAACCAATATGCCATTATACTTCCAACTATATATAATGCTGCTGACCTGGACTCAATCAACCATAACTATACATCCCAATTGGATTACCCATACCCATAACCATAACATATTTGTACTCTTCAAATTAATTTTGTGTTGGATCTTAAATCAAATAAATTTACTTTTCAGACATTAAAAGATTTAAAATGTTGGTCAAATATTTAATTCATATTCTTACTACTACTAATTAGGTCTCAGTTTGATCTAATTTGATTATTAAACAATAAATATTTTTAATAATGAACGAGACTATTTCTTTCGACAAATGTAATTATTATAACATCCTACGCCAAGCTAAATTTGTTAATCTTTTTTAGTTGTCTCTTGAAATAAATAAATATATGTATGTATGTATGTTGTGTGTGCTGTTGAAGCTTTTATTGGTCTAATCCCACATTGCTTGCAAAGGAAATGGGGGTGGTGTAAAGTATATGGTTTTAAAATTTTTTTGGGTAATAATTAATTAATCAAAAGTACCAAAGAAATAAAAAAAAGAAGATGCTTTAAATTAATGATTGAGAATCTATTTAGGCTTAATTTGCCAACAAAAAAAAAAAAAAACATGTCTTATATGCATTGGTCCAAAGCAACAAGGGGTCAAAAAGGCTTCTTTTTTTCATTTGGCATCAATTTAATATTATATATGTATGTATTCTCTAATTGCTAATGAAACCTAATTCAATAAAAACAACATACATATAGTGTTGATAAAAGAAACCGTTTCTTTGCAAACTGTTTTTTCCTCCTTGGATCAAAACCCTCATCTGTTTAAGTCTTGACGTACGATGATTAAAAATTATTTGTCCTTAAAGGTTCTGTCAAATAATATATAATATACATCTATAAAAAAAATAATAGAATCCAATAAATAGATATGAAAAAAAATATTATTTCTTTATAATAAAACTACAAGGAAACATCATCTCGAGCTCACGAGCTGTACAGCAAAATAGAAACATGTAACCACACTCCGGTATCTTTGAGTCCTTGTGACTGAGGGCTAGTATGAACTAAAAACGGATGGATGGGTACTCCAGATGATGAAAGGGACAAAAACTAAAATACTTTTTTATTTTTTAAAGTTTGGTGTAAATCTACTAACTCAGTGTCATATTTTAATATAATATATATAATAAGCTTTTAAATTTTTATAAACAGGTATTATATTCCTAGATTCATATCACAATATACATACACATACAAATAAATCAAAATAATCGTTCGTTTTTATAAAGTAGATAATAAATAATTATTTATATCTACATAAATTAAAATTATTTAGGAATACAATGAAAAATAAAATATAAAAATATATTGGTCATTATCATAAGAATTTATCTGACTATTTTTTTATTTTAATTTACATTATTTCCATTTATTTATTGTCAATTTGTCGCGATTGCTTTACCTAAAAGAACAATTTTATTTTATATTTAATTTATCCGGTTATTCCTAAATTATAATATTATTTTTTTATAAAAATAGGAAAATAATTTTTATCTTAAAAATACAAATTTATATTTAAAATTTAAAATTAAATAAAATAATATTAAAAATAATTATTGCGTAGTTTTTCTTTTTTCAATGTTTTTACTGTTATATAGTGTAAAATTAGTTAATTTCCAAATTTATTGAAATTAATTTTTAATCATTATAACTTTATATTTTGTAAAAAAATAAAATAATATTTAAAAAATTCTATTACTTTTATTAGAATTTTCACTGTTTTATTAAAAAAAAAAAACTTATAAATTGAAGCAGTTTTTAAATTTAAAAATCAAATTGTGAAAAATTTTGTAAATAGTAACAATTTACCCTAAAATAAAGCACTTGGAAACAGCAGACCGGTAGAGGGTGATTGGAGGCTAACGTGCGCCAGATGGACCGTTAAAAAGCCGGCGCCAATTTTTTCATTGCTCCTCTTCCTCTTCCTCCCTTAAAACCCAAACCCCACCCAGTGTTCCTGTTTCCAGAACCCACAGTACACACATCCACTCTCTCTCTCTCTCTGCTTTTCTTCTTCTTCACTGGAATCTCAACTGTCTGGATCTCTTTCAATGATTGAAAACGGTTTCTCTTCTCCTCGGAGCGATTCGTTTCCTGCTGGTCTCCGTGTTCTTGTCGTCGATGATGATCCCACTTGGCTGAAGATCCTTGAAAAGATGCTTAAGAAATGTTCTTATGAAGGTTTTAGCTCCTTTCACCAGCTTCTCTTTCCTACTCTTCTCCTTTCTCGACCAACTGAGCACTTGCTTGTCTTTTGCTATGATGGATTCTTTTAATTTCTTTTATGGAATTTTAGTTCTTGCAAATAGCTTCATTTTTTTATATAAAAAAGTACATTTAAGGTTCGCAATCATGCTTTTTTTTTTTTCAACTATTCGACAAGTTAAGCCAGTGATTTTCTTCTGAGTCTCATTTGTTCATACTTGCTGAGTTGGATTTTATTTGCTTTGATAATCGCACTTGAGTCTCCACCTCTTGGCAGTCTTTCAGAAGTAAGAGGAACTGTAAACAGTAAATTAAGTTCTTAATCATCCAAAAGGATTTGAATTGGGGATTGACAATAGTAAAGTAAAGATACAATTCAGGGCCAGCAATAATTTATGATTGGTAGATTTTGTATCGGTTTGGTATTTAATCAGCTTACAGAACGGAGGCTTGGATAAATCTTTACCATGTGTTTGGCCAGACTCTTATCTGATGCACTTTTTCTAGACAATTGGTTTTCTGCTTTGACGGATATGAAGCGGTTGTTTCAATTTGGACTAAGCTTTACTGCTTCATAAACTTTTTGCTTAGAAAATCCCCAAAGTTCCTGAAAGTAGAGTGGGTTTTCAGCAGTATTTATGTCTTTATTTATTAGTTTGAACTATCTGAAGAGTTTCATTACATGTCTTGGATGGTTAATGATACTAATAACCATTTGGAGTATAGGACTTTTAGTTCTGAATATTAAAAATGCATGTGACAAAATGACCGAACACACAGGATCCCCCTCGACCTTGAACCAAATCAACCAAATGAAACAAAATTACCAATTGCTCAGGCCTGATTTAGTTGATCTAAATGTGTGTTGTAGCAGACTAAGTAATACTCTGGATATTATGGAAGGGTCACCTAAATGAATGTGGCTTGAAATTAGATTTCATTTTATGCAATTGCGTCAGATTTTATTGTCCACTGTAGTTACATAAACATGAAATTCTCTTTTCTGTGATCTCTTAATTCTTTCTTTTATCGGTTAAATGCATTCTAAATATATTTTTTTTGGGTTAGCAATGACTTTTACTTACCGTGTTCATACTTAGGAAATTGGCCTCCCAAATTTATGACCTGACTTTTGGCTTGGTAATTCTCTAACTATGTAGAAAAGGACACTTCTTATCAATCATGTCCTTACCCATCTGTTTGTTCATTCCTTGTGCATGATTTGCAAAAGACAGAAAATGCCTTCGATTTACTCAGATCTGTTAATCACACTGAAAGGAAATTCAATTGAAAGCTCAGATTTATGAGTATGACATTTGCTTTTGCTTATAATAATGTCATTATAGAAGGAGTCCCCTTAGCACCAATAAACGAAGGTTACTGTTGGCCATTGAGTGAAATTTTATGATGTAGGATGACTTCTGCCATGGCAGTTTGCTCAGCTTTCAAATATTATCTGCCACAAATTCTTATGGAAATTCTTTTATGTCCTTACAAATCTCCATATGTTGGTTTTTTATGGTTCAGTGACCACTTGTTGCTTGGCAAGAGAGGCTCTGAAGTTACTTCGAGAAAGGAAAGATGGGTATGACATTGTAATCAGTGATGTTAATATGCCTGACATGGATGGATTCAAGCTTCTGGAGCATGTTGGACTCGAGATGGATCTTCCTGTAATTAGTCAGTTTCTGTCATAACATACAGGCCTTTGTTTTGAATAGACTTATTACCCTATATTTTCCATTTCATGTACTCTAAAACCTTTAGCCTAATAAAGTTTTATTGAACTTCACAGTGATGTCTGTTGATGGAGAGACGAGTAGAGTCATGAAGGGTGTACAGCATGGAGCCTGTGATTATCTTCTTAAGCCCATAAGAATGAAAGAACTCCGCAACATATGGCAGCATGTGTTTAGAAAGAAGATACATGAGGTTAGAGACATTGAAAGTCTTGAAGGCATAGATAGTATAGGGATGACAAGAAATGGTTCAGAGCAGTCTGATGATGCCCACTTGCTTAGTGCAGAAGATATGACTTTGATAAAGAAAAGAAAGGATGTTGAAAACAGGCACGACGATAAGGACTTAAGTGATCCTTCTTCTACGAAGAAAGCTAGAGTAGTTTGGTCAGTTGAACTTCATCAGAAATTTGTCAAAGCAGTAAATCAGATTGGATTTGATAGTAAGTGCATCATAAAATTGTGATCCCAACATTTGATCTTCTGATCATTATCATGCATTACTAATTCCAGTGTCATGTGTAGCAACCTGTATGAGGTATCTAGATAGTATAGTTTGTCTTAACATGCCTTTTACAGAGCCTTGATTTCTATTTTCTGTTTGGCAGAAGTTGGTCCTAAGAAAATCCTGGACTTGATGAATGTGCCATGGTTGACAAGAGAAAATGTTGCGAGTCACTTGCAGGTAAATATCTAACTCCTTGATCTTGTTCCCAATAATGGGCTTATAATTTCTATATAGGTTTGCCACGTCAACCTTCTCAGCAAGATATAAATGTTCTTAGGAAAACCTTAGCAATTTCATCATCCTAACATTTAGTTAGAAATGGTAGTGACAGATACTTGAGGACTTATCCGGTCTTTATTTACTTATTTTTTTGAACTCACTGGTTTCTTGACCTGGTGACTGACGTAGCACTATGGAGGGAGTGTCTGTGTTTGAACCCTCTCCCTTGGCACAGGGAAAGAATTAAATTTTTGATTATTTGAGAAATGTCTGAAAGAAATTACTCATGCATCTGTTGTTTGCATATGCTTTCTATATTAGATACGATATTTTTTTCTCTATCTTTTTGTTTTTCGTTTAATGAGGCACCTTTCAAGTATGTTGGAGTTGTATTTATATGTATATGTATATGAACTTACTTAGATATAGAGAAGTTTTAACTACCTTGAACATTGGATTACTACAGATGCACTGTAGTCACACCTAAGCTTTTCTAAAAGGCAGAAAAGACAGAGATGAAGTTTTATCTAATTATTAATAGTTTTAGTGCCATTAACTTCTAAGCAACAAAATTCTTTTATGCAGAAGTACCGCCTTTATTTGAGTCGGTTGCAAAAGGAAAATGAGCTGAAATCTTCTTTTGGTGGGATAAAGCACTCAGATTCACCTCCCAAAGATGCTACTGGGAGTTATGGGCTTCAGAATTCAATAAATGTGCACCCTAATGATGTTTTAGATGGTAGTCATGGACTTTCTGGAGGTAACTCGCTTTTACAAAGTGTGGATAGAAACACTGATGAAGTTGATAGAAAGGGAATTGCTTCAGTTGCTACAACAGAAAGCAAAAGATCTTTGGCAGTTGATGTTTCTAATCCTCAAAAGCCCAGATGTGCTCAAATGGGCTTTGATCATCCTCTTGCATCACTTGAACCAGAAGTTAACTTCATGACATTTGGATCTAATGTACCAGCACAGTACTCTTGGAGTGAGATTCCAGGGGTTCAATTTAAACAGGATCATAAGCCACTTGAATTTGAGGAAAGCTTGAGCCAGTTACCACTATCTGGGCTACACCATCATGTGCAAACAGATTATCTACCGCCAGCTGCATCTGTTAGTCCTGGACCTTCTATAACAGAGAGAGATGTTAAGCATTCCTCTAACAGGTGCAAAAGCAATCATGTCGACCCTATAAGCTCATCCAGTGCAAATGATTTATTTCCTGTTCAAAGCAAGAGCCAAATGGTAAGTCAGTCAGCTTTCCAACCTGTTAACACTACTTCATCCGACATTGAAAATCAGGGATTCAATCAAACTTATGTTACTAATTTGGAATCTATACAAAGAAACCTGAATTGGGGAATCAATTCGCCTTATGCATCTCTTAATGAGGACTTGCAATTTTGTTTACTGCAAGGGGATTGTTATTCAATGAACCTTGGATTACAGGGTGTAGAGTTTACAGATTACAACAATTTGGAGCTCTTTACTGAAGTTCCAATCCACTTATATGATGCAATGAGGTTTGACTGTGATCATCTCTATGCCAAGCAGAACATGCTGTTGTAGATGGAGAATTGTTGGTACCATGAACTTGTTTCATGCTTTTTCACATCTTTGACTAAGACAGGATTGTTGGCCATTTCAGGCAAGCAATCCAAACGAGAGTATTTAAGTGGTACTGGGATGTCAATTTCCTGGTCAGGTTGGATTTGGATGTTATAAGATGTATATTATGATTGATCAAGTGAAATAATGCTTCTTTATTCCTCATACTGGATACGCCATTAGTTAATAACAATCAGATGCAATCATGGATTAAGTATTGGTGTCGATGTACTAACCATGATCAATATAAACTGAGTATGATCAATATAAACCGAAATAATGATTCCTTGGCATCTGATCCTTGTATTTTCTGTAGTGAATATAGGACTCAGATTGATGGCACTGGAAAATGCAACTCAATTTAGGGCCCTGGCAAAGTAATTATGATATTCAGGTACCAATTTGGCTATATAAGCTCATGCATTCCTAAAAGGGTAGACTATCAATCATGATCTTAGATTTTATTTGAGAAAAACTAAAGAAATAAAATATGAAGAAATTGAAGAAAAAAAAAAAAATCTCTCCTTCTATAACTAACTCTTCAATAAGTAAAGGCTAAAATATATGAATTTTAACAAAGGAAATTCTCTTTTAAGCCATTGCTTAAAAGCTTGTGCTGTATAGCTTAATTTCTCCCAAGTTAGTAGGGGCTAAAAGCTTCTCTTTTTTGCTTTTTTTCTTTTTGTCCATTCAGTGGGGGGGAAAAATTTAGTAAAGAAATAGAGATGAAAGGAAAAGGAAAGGAAAGGAAAGGAAAGGAAATAAAAAGAGTGGTTTTAAAAAAGAAATAAAGAAAAGAATGCTAGAATGACTAGAAATTAGAAAAGGAAGACAAGGATATTGTTTGATTTAATTTTGTAAAATATATTCTGACTATTTTTTATAAAAAAATTAACAATACTTTATTGTTTTTTTATTAATAAAATGACAAGTTAAAGTAGTTAAAATAAAATATATATAACTTTTCTTTAGACATGTTTAAGTCCTTTGCTTTTCCTTCAATCTCTCCCGAGTTTCAGAAATTGAACTTTGAAAAAGGAAAGGATTGAACGCTCACAACCCCTCCATTGTGGCATTGTCATCCACAAGGTTTAACAAGAAGCAAATAACCGTTAAAGAGAAGTACATGATTAATATAAATGCAAAATTTGTATAGAAATGTATTTGAAAAAACATAAATTATACAAAACTTCCAAGATACTTTATCCATTCTTTTCCTTTCTCCACCAATCATCTCTATTTTTCTTTCAATCTCTTCTCTTATATACCTCTCGGTCTAAAAGATAAAGAATCTGACTTCGTATCATTAGTACTGAAGAATGAATGAGATGAACTTTCATTATATACACTGAGTTGTGAGTTTCTGTAACGACACTTCTCATGGTATTATTACACACAGCGAAGACCCGTACACTATTCTCACAACCCCACCAATCCTGAAATAAATTACAAGAAATAATATTCAACACCCAAAGAGAGATTTCTCATAATAAAGTATGAGATATAGCATCCAAAATCCAATGAAATGTTGCAAGCAAGAAAAAGCCAATTGAGGAACGCAGGCAGGCAGGGACGTAATGAACTGCACAAGAAAAGAATGGATTCCTTAAACTAAACTTGTTGACATGGGATGCCGACAGTCTCTTTCCAAGATGATTGATTAGTACACATCTCTTAAGATATTAATAAAAAATATTAACCAGTTACAATGCAATATATATAGCTTGATAATTCAAGAAAGGAATTTATTAACCCTACAAAAAAGATAATTATAAAGACAAAATTTGAGGTAATAATTGTAAGAAATCATGATTATGCCAAACATGAACCATTAAATATTTTTGTAGTATGATTTTTAAAATATAATACTTCTGCCAAGAGTTCAAATTTACATGAAATTTTTTTCGTAGAGCTAATAACTTAAGTTGAAGTGAGAATCACACTACAAGAATATTTCTTTATCTCAAATTATAGTACTCCTATGGATTTTCTTAGAATGTAAAGTTTTATATTAGCTTATGTAACTGAAGTTAATACCCCCATATATCATAAGCTTGTACCAATCCATGTATGTAATGACCCCGAAAATTAAAAGAAAAAATATATATTTATTCTAAGTACGGAAGATCAATAAAATAGATTATGATTAATATCCCTTACACAATAACCAAAACAAATTAAACGTACGAAAGAATAAACTAACTTAAAGGAAATACTATGAATGAATGCTATAAGAAAAACTAATAAATTTTTTGGCTTCTACTCGCCGTCTTCCTGTAGAACGGGCTCGGGAACCAAGTCCTCCTGATCTGAAATGGTTAAGTAAAGAATGAGTTACACTAACCAAGTAAAGACATCACACTATCTCACTATCACATAAGTAAAAGTTGGTAGAAAACAAAAATGACCAATGGAGTATAATTTATGTAACGGCTCCGGAAAATATTAAAATGAAATGAGTATTTAAATATATCGAATGCGGAAGCGAGATCAAAATTTCAGTTAACATCCCTTACACGAAAAACCAAACAGACGTACTTAAAATATAAAAGGTTAAACTAACTAAGAAAGAAAACTCGAAAATAAACTATGCGTATGACTGCAGAGTCTCTAGGCATCCCCTTCGTCGTCCTCCTGCGGAACGGGCTCGGGAACCATGTCTTCCTGATCTGAAATGGTTAATTAAGGAGTGAGCTACACTAGCCCAGTAAGAACATCACGATATCTCACCGTCACGGAGATAAAGGTGGGTAGAAAATCACAAAAAGACCAATGGAGCATAATTTACAATAAACTCGTTTATTAACAACAAAACCTTTTATCAATAATAAAACTTTTACCATCCACTTACCTTGGTGGAATTTATGAAAACAATATGAGAAAAACAATAACATTATCATAATCATTGAATAATCTAAGCTGTAAAACATAACACTTATCACGCCTCTTGTAATTCAATCATTGTACAACATATCTTTTTTTTCTCATTTACCAGCCTACTAGTATCCGTGGGGGTCCATAGGGGTTCCGCTACCCGTTAACCTTTAACATTCATAATCAGTTTCCAGGGCCGTCCCCATACCCCGTCCGGTATGGGCGCCAAAACCATGAACCTCAATACCCCGTCCGGTATGAGGGTGAAACGGGCCGTCCCCATACCCCGTCCGGTATGGGCGCCAAAACCATAAACCTCAATACCCCGTCCGGTATGAGGGTGAAACGGGCCGTCCCCATACCCCGTCCGGTATGGGCGCCAAAACCATAAGATCTCCATACCCCGTCCGGCATGTGAGACCACAATCCCGGTAGGGTTCCCTACGGACCCGGTCCGTCCACCATCTCCCAGGATATCTAGTCAGGCTGACCCCCATAATACAATTA